ACAGAATCTTCCAGTCCCAGTTAGGCCTTGTCATCCATCTTTGGATCTAAAGATAAGATGATCATGGAAGACAATCATCCTCAGCTGTAAGGGATTGCCAAAGATGATGATGGTTTTGCCTTCCAACCCCAAAATCTGTATCTTGCTATTAAGGCTAAATAGAAGGTAATCTTCCTGAGTGAGCCAACTATTAATTGGTGCTAGGGATCATGACATGGTTGTATTCCTTTGCTATTAATTCACACTACAATCGCTTCAGATTAGAACCTGGCTGGCTGTGGAATGGATCCAGCCTGTGAAATGGTCCAGTCTGGCCTATAGAAGTCCAGTCTGGCATGGGGAATCAGTGTCATGGAGCAGCACTGTACCAACCATTCCCTCTGTGTAGCTGGCTGCATCTGCATTTACCCTCACTGCAGAGAGTTGACAATGAATAGCAAAACTAAGCACAGGCTGCTCCAGGGGTGGAGATTTGTAGTTTGCACCAGCAAAAGTTGTGGATCCCTTCTTTAAATTATACAAATGTGAAGGCACCTCAAGTGCCATTTTTAAGTCCATTTAGGAAAGCTATAAACCTTTCTAGCCAAGTGCAGCTTAACATAAATATGTTTACCAGATAGTGATACCTTCTCACTGAAGTTGTTTAGGTTTGATTATGTTCAAATGGGGAAATTAGTAGCTTTTTGTTTTGCTGGAGGATGTGTGCGCGCACATGGGCTAGTATGGAATAGCTGATTCTTTCTCATCTTGACAAACCTAAAGCAAGATGGAACAGATGGATATAGAAAGATATCAGATGTGAGAGTATAAGAAAAAAATAAACAATATTGGTTGACAAAATAAGCAATGATGCCTAACTTATTTGTAGGCAATTTCTTTTCCGATACTCCCTCACCTCAATATCACTAATTCTCCCTCTCAAAAAATAAATGAATAAAATATATAAAGCTAACAAAGTCCTTTGCCAAGCAGAGTTTTTTAGCTAGAAAAAGGGGAGTGCCAGCAACTCCATAAGGTCTATTCCAGACTTCATTATTTCTATCAATTTAGCTAGCTTGATAAACAGCAGTCTCAGCACATGAACAGCTTAATACCTTGAATACATGTTACATTTGTAGTGCTACAGGTACCTTTGTAGTACTATAGAAGGTGAAGGGATGTGCCTGCACCTCCCTGCATCACTACAAAAATGACACCAGTGCTACAGAAATGTTCCTGTTTGAAATAGGAACTTCTCTGTAGTGCTACATTTTGTAGTGCCACATGTAGTGTCTGTCCAGTTGCATGCAGTACTACCAGGGGTCTTTTAGTTCTCCAGCAACCCACAGTGCTCCATTCTTCCTCTCCTGCTCCAAAAGGGGAGGGAGGCAGAACAGTTGGCTGTCTGATAGCCTGGCAGGAGCAGAGCAGAGAACCTTGCTGCTGCCCTGAAGGAGAAGTAACTCTGCTTGGAGGTCCTGCTGCTTCTGAACCCCCGCCCTCCTCCCCAGTGACAGTAGCAGAGAAGACTGCCTCCTGCTGATGATGCCACCAAGGCAACGCTTCTCACCCTCCAGACCTCAGGGCAGCATGTAGAGTGCCATCAGAGAATCCCAGCTCTCAGAGAGCTCACTGCTGCTCTAAACCTCAGAACAGCAGTTTCATAGTTGGTAGGTTTGGAAGGGACGTGAGCAGATCATTAAGTCCGACCCCCTGCCATGGCAGGAAAGAATGCTAGGGTCAAATGACCCTGGCTGGGCGATTATCTAGCCTCCTTTTGAAGACTCCCAGGGTAGGAGCGAGCACCACTTCCCTTGGAAGTTGGGTCCAGATCCTAGCCGCTCTGACAGTGAAGTAGTGCCTCCTCATATCTAGCCTGAATCTACTCTCAATCAACTTATGGCCATTGTTTCTCGTTACTCCCAGTAATGCTCGGGGAAACAGGGACTCTCCCGTTGCCTGCCAGTCCCCCTTGTCAAGTTTATAGAGGGCCACCAGATCCCCTCAGCCTTCTCTTGTGGAGGCTGAACAGGTTCAGGTCCCTTAGCCTCTCCTCATAGGGCCTGCCCTGCTGCCCCCTGATCATGCGAGTGGCCCTCCTCTGGACCCTCTCCATGTTGTCCGCTTCCCTTCTGAAGTGCGGTGCCCAGAACTGGACACAATACTCCAATTGTGGCCTGACCAGTGTCTCATGGAGGGGGAGGATCACTTCCTTGGACCTGCTTGTGATGCATCTGTGGATGCATGACAAGGTGCGGTTAGCCTTCCTGACCCCATCCTCACATTGGCGGCCCATGTTTTTAATTCACACTGTACGTCCTGTGCGGACAACCACCCCAAGAGCTTTACATGCTTAAACTTTGCATATACTTAATATTAGGGGTGCACTGATAGGGATTTTTGAGGCAGATACCGATAGCCAATATTTAAGGAGGCAGATTGGCTGATACCGATCCGATATCTGATACACTGCCTACAGCAGGCAAGTCTGATGTGGTAAGAGAAGGGGTGGGGGGAGAGGGAGGGTTATCAGAGACCCACCCACTACCCAGAGCAGTGGTTGAGGGTGAGGAGAGCTGTTCTCTAGGGAGCCCCTGTCTCCAACCTGGCAGCAGGGCCAGGGACCCCTGCTGCCCCCACTGTCAGTAATGAGCTGCCCACTGGTCACTGTCAGCCTGCTCAGTCCCCCTTCCTTGTCTGGGAAGAGGACAGGCTCTCAATGTTTGCTGACGGGTTCTCCTTGGAGGGAGAGCAGGGGAAGCTGAGGAGGAATCCCTGTCACCCCTTGGCTGGTGAGTATGACTTTATAGAGCTTTATATATCTTTGCATGGTGCCAGTAGCACTACCAATGAACTTGTGTCCAAGAATCAACATTATCAAGTTTTTTTGTAGCCATCATGGAAAGGAGTAGTTTTTTGAAAGAGGATGGTTTGTTTTGTGGATGTTTATGCCAGGCTTCTCCCAAGTGTGATGTGCAGGATGAGAGAAAGTGAAGATGAAGAGTGCAGAGTGATGGAAGCTGTTATCAAGTGTTGATCATAGGCAGGAGTCTATATCGTGACAGTGAATACAAGAACTTGGGCCACTAAGGGTCTTGGAGGGAGGTGGGGAGGGGGGAATGACATTTGATGCAGTAAAGAAGGGGGTGGGGCAGGGGTGTTAGTAGAAAGATGACATGGGAACTGGGTTTAAGAAAGCAGTGTGATCACCAGGGATCCTGGTTTTCTTTGATTTAAAAAAAAAAAATCCACAATTTCCAGTTCGGGGGGAAAAAAAAAAAAGTAACCCAAAATCCACTTTTTGTGGGGGGGGTTACTTTTTTTAAATGAAAATTGGGGATTTTTTAAATAGGAGAAAATCAGGATCCCTAGTGATCACTTTACTAATACTTCATAAGGGACAGAAATTACATAATAGAAGTCAAGTATACCATTGTAAACAGCTGTTTTGTTATAATTCAGAATCAATCAACTTGACTCAGATTAAAATCTGATTTTGGTTCTCAGTTATTAAGATAAAATTTGAATGTATGTTGTCCAGTTATGAAACTGTTATTTCTGATACTGAAGTCTATCCATCTGCCTTACTTTTGGATTTCTATTTTCATAACTCATGCTTACATATCTTGCACATGCTTATATACCTTGTATTTAAAAATTCTGGAAAGAGGAAGCAATGGATAAAATTCTTACTCTGGTGTGCAGCTGTCCATTCTTCTTTGGCACTATGGGCAATTAATAACCCACAAAACGAATCAAACTAGCATGACAAAAGTGCCATAAAAGCAAACCATTGCAGACATACAAATCTTCCTATCTACAATTATGTAAAGTATTTTACTTAGCTGCAAAATAAATCAAACACTTGGTTCTTTACTAGATAATTTCTCACAGTAGCTAAATATAACCTCCTGAGGTCCCTTCCCACTCTGACTTTCTATGATTCTATGTATTACTTAATAAGAGTGGCATAAAATACTGAGTATAAAGAGATTAATATCATTCTACTTATATTTACCTAATTGATTTTAATTTAGTATAATCTTTACTTTGCAATTGAATATTGAGAAGAATATTTAACAATAACAAATGCATACCAATCTGCAGAAAAAAGTATGTTAATATCAAAGGCACTTGTCTAGTCCCTCTCTTTAGGAGCACAAAATCCAGCTGAAGGACAGCCTCTCTGTGAGATACAAAATCTTTACACAAAATGAAATCAAATAGTTCTTTAGTCTAAAAGACTTTTTTCATGCTAAGGCTAAACTCAAATTCAAAGGAATCCATATTCCTCTTGCTAATATAAAAGGATTTGTTTAAATGTACAAAGGAATTGGACAGATGTAAAAAATCTCTTGTATGGTACTTAGCAATCCTGAAAATAACTTTTAAAACTTTTAGAACACAAGTCAGTACCTGTCACAGGGAAGCACACACAATAAATTGTACTGCTTCAGGATTCCTCAGATTACAAAGAGCCATCAATTTCTATAAAAATACAGTGGAGGTGCAGAGCGGGGAAGCATATACATGCATTCTGAGGCTTTGCTGTGCTGAGGCTCTGGTGGAACTGTGTGTCTCCTGTGATACATGATCACCATGGATAGCTTCCACTTTAAACTTTTTTCATGTAGTTGTCTTAATTTTTACTTTCTAATGAAGAGAAAGAAGTTTCTTTTCTCTCACTTTGACCTCTAGTTTTCCCGTTTTCTTTCCTTTTGGACTTTTCAGGTTTCTCATCTTCTGTATTCTCTACTTCATCTCTTTTCCAGTCTTTCTAAATCCTTCCTTGGTTTTCATTTCTCCTTTTGAAGAATTTACAAACTTCTGAGGCTAAGGAGGAAGTGGATCTCTATCAGAGACTAAAGCTGAAAAAAAATCTCTTAATACTATTTTTATTCAGAGAGAGGAATGTAGCAATATTAAGGCAATGTTTACAACTGATAATGCTTCTAACATCTGCATTGATTGATTATAATGATACTTATTATACTCAACATACTTTTTCTTTTGTATTACAGAAATTTCTCATCTTGGCTCTACCATGGAAGGCCCCAGTTTACCATCAAGTATCTGAAATGTAAGGGATAACCTGGGAGAAATATACTCAGTTTCAAATGTTGTGCTGAAACCATGGCCCCCAAGAATCCTTATACTTTCTACTCACATGCCACCCGTTCTGCTTATAAATAAAGTCAATGTATGATCACTACTTCTTTGTCAAAGGTCACTTTCAGAAGCCTTCTAAATCCATGCTTTCCTTGTACATCTCTGTATGTTACAGAAAGACTGAAAGTAAAACTAGTTATTTGGGTCAATTTTTTAGTTTGAAACAGAAAAGCTACAAATTTCTGTACTGACTGATTTCTGTTTTTTTTTTCTTTTTTTTAAACAAAACAGACAAACAAGGGTCTATTGTCTATATAAACTGTGCTTCAGACTCTTTTGTTTTGTTTGCATCTAATTCACTGGAAACACTTGCTATAAAGCACCAAAAAGTGATAGCTTGCAGGTTACGATGCATGACTGCTTAGAGAGATAGCCAACTATTGATGGCTTCTTCATGGCTCTTGTTTTTGTGGCAAGTTAAGTAATTTGTTGTAAATCTGCCTTCTTTTTTCCTATTTATCCTCCTGCTTCTGTTACTGATATTTTATTCTTTGGTTCTTCAACACAGTATTTAAAGCTAGTTGTCAGCAGTCTTTCTTCCTTGCTCAATAGATGCACAATATTGCCATGTTCATGTTAACTGTGCCTTGAATCCAGGCTTTTGGTTTTCTTTAGACTAGATTGGTGTATGGGTTTCCTTATAGAAGTGAGTAGAAATCACCTTTGATTTTCATTATGGAGCTGGATCAAAACCCATTTCTGTTGATGGACTTTTGATCAGACCTATGTGGACATTGAGTAGTTATCAGTTTGGTACTTCCATTTATGATTTTTTTTTTTTTTTTTTTGTCTAAAACCCTCGGGACAACTCATGGAAAAAAATTTAAATAATCTAATCTAAAAAGAATTCTGTTTGGGGTATAACGCTTTTTACTTCACCATTAATTTTCTGGAGTTTTTTTCCCTTCAGCATTTATCATCTAGTTGCTTATTCCCTATCTAAAACCATAATCTGGCTAGTAACATCTCCATTTTTTAAATTATTTTGATATCTGTAATAGATTAGCCATTTTTGTATAGGGAATGAACAGTAAAGACAGATTAACAATTAACATGTATATATGACCACATAAAATTTAGATTCATTAGAAGTATTTTAAAGACATGAAAATTGGAGAGAAATGGGGAAAATGGGTACATAGATTGGGCTAAATTAAACAGGAGATGCATTTGACTCAATATCTGAGAGGATTTCACAGTTTTTGGAATCATCAGTGTATTTTTAAATTTTCTCTTTGTGGAAGGTATAGGTGTAGTGTCGTTCTCTTGGGCTTATAGCATTTTAGGAGAAAGCACAAAATCATACCACTACAGACAACCCCCGCTTAACGTGGTTTCAGTTGGCGCTGTTTCACTATAGCGCTCAGTGGAATCGGGGTTTCAGCAGGCAGGCAGGCAGGTGAGTGGGTGGTAGTGAGTGGGCAGGCAGGCATGAGGGCCCAGGGCAGGACAGCAGAAGCATGGGCACAAGCTGGCACATGGTGCTGGAGCGAGCAGGGGGTGTGGAGGCAAGCAGCTGCAAAAGAGGGGAGGAGTGTGGGGCCCAAGCCAGTGCCCAGGGCCAGGGCCAGCACGGGGCTGCACCTAGGGGGAGGGGCAGGAGCATGAGGCCTGCGCTGGTGTGTGGGGCCAGTGGAAGGCCCACATCCAGAGCACGGCGGCAGGAGCGCTGGTGCCCGGGCTGGAGTGGGCAGAGCTGGGGTGGGGAGAAGTGGCAGCAACAGAGGCAAGTAGTGCAGGGCCCATGCCAGGGGCAGGGCTGGCTGGGCCGGTGCCCAGAGTGGGGCAGCAAGAGCGCAGGGCCCACATCAGTGCCCAGTGGCAGGGGCTGGTGCCCAGGGCGGGGCAACAGTAGTGCCAGTGCCCAGGAAAGCAAGAGGGGTGGGGCGAGGTGGCAGTAATGAGAAGCAACTAGCGGGGCCCAGGCATGAGTGTGGGACCTGTGCCAGTGCCCAGGGCCAGGACCTGCAGGGGCCCAGAGCGGGGCAGTAGGAGCACGGGCCTGGGCTGGTACATGGGGCTGGAGTGCCAGCAGGTGGGTCAGGGAGTGGGGAGAGGCGGCGGGGGGGCAGGCAGTAACCAATTAATCTCTACTTAGATTCATTTCTATGGGGAAATGGGTCTCCCTTAGCCTAGTTCTGCTTAATGCTCAGCTTTTCTGGAACCAATTAAGAGCGCTAAGCAGGGGTTGCCTGTACCCATAATGCTGTGGGTTAGAGCTCTCAGTCTTGCCATGAATCTATCTTTAAGCTGGCACTCTCCTACTGGGTGTGTCTGGGCACAGTAAAGAGTGAACCACTTTTCAGGGGTGTTGCAGAAGTGGTCAAATAATGCTGAATGATCAGCACTTCTGCCTAAAGAATGGAATAAATACAAGTATGAGAATGAGGAACCTAGCACACAACAGCTTCACATGAACTTGAGGAAAAAGAGGGGGGGAAATGAGAGGAAAAGTACATAACAGAGAAGGGCAGAGGAAAAGGTGGGTAAGGGCAGTGCTGTGGATTTATAGTAAGCAGTAATAACACACAGAAGTAGGAAATGTAAAAACAGGCACAGACATGAAGAATGACAATAGAGAGAGAAGGTGAGGAGGAAAAGAAACAGACAGACCAGCAGCTCTAAAGCATAACTATATCTAAACTTATTACCGCGCTGTTTGCAAAGCACTTGGTGGATGCACTGTTGTGCTTAAGTATTTTTTTTCTTGGGTGGAAATGTACATTACTGTTACCAGCATGAACTCTCTAGAACAGGGCTCTCCAGCTTTTAAGCTCTTTTTTGGTTGGCAATCCCTCTCAGTCAAGATTTATTGATTGATTGTCTTCCACGATTGATTTATCTGTGGGTCCAAAGATGGCTGATAAGGCTGATCGATAGACTGTTGCAACTTGGATATGTTTTTTGGGGAGGGGGTAGATGGGGGTGGACTCGGGATTCTTGATTTGGTCTGCTGTATGCTGTTCCTGCAGCTTCTGCTTTTCCTTTTCCTGTTGTAAGGTTTCAAAGTGCTAAGATCCTTGCAGCAGACTCTTCCTCCATAAGCAGCTGTGGGACACAGCAGTGGAGACTCACCATGGGCATCCCCCCCCCACACACTGTTGCACCATGCACCTGTGCAGGCCTTTTTTTCCTCCTTTGCATTGTGTGCACAGCTCCAGGCTCACCCTCAAATCCCCCTTCCATGCTTGCCACACTGCCCTGACCCCTGGGCCAGAAGCAGGCATCAAAATCTGGAGGAGGGGGTGGAGACTGGAGACTGGTAACCAGAGCAATGGGGAAGCAGTGACTAGGCAGGAGCCCTGGGGGCAGCAACTTACCCCTTTGAGGGTTGCATGTGGCCAGTGGGCTACAAGTTGGGCAGCGTGGCTCTCGAAAGTATTATAGTATGCAGGTCATTCCAGTATTCAACACTTCCATAATTTTACCTTAAGTACAAGTGGCATTAGGATAGGGAATGTTTAATTTCAAGAAACCTTTACCCATGCAGTAATATAATGCTTTATTTATTTCCTATTTGTATTAATTTGACAAAGAATTGGAATCGGAGTACATTTACTTTGCATTAAAATCTAATATTGTGAACTGAGTATTCAAATTTCAGAATATTTGAAATAAAGAATTTCAAAACCTCACGGGAGGTTATGAAGATGAAAAACTTTGTGATTTTTTTTTTATCAAAGTACTGTCTATTAAAACATATATTTAAAATCCCTTATGTTTTACTAATATTTTCCATCCAGAGGTGGTGCATCCCTCCAGAGGTGGTGCAATCACCTACACTGGAAATCTTCAGGAGGAGACTGGACGGTCACCTCATTGGGGTCACCTGACCCCAGTTGTCTTTCCTGCCTAGTGCAGGGGGGCTGGACCCGATGATCTTGCGAGGTCCCTTCCAGCCCCTTACAATCAATGAATCAATCAATCTATGAATCTATTTTTGATAATTGAACTTGAAAGAATATAAAATACATCATTTAAATCTTTGTATATGCTGAGATGTTTCTTCACTAGACCAAGCTTGGACACTAAAATTAAAATGAATAATTTCCACTTTCTAATGGAGTAATTAAACAATACTGCTATCTTTAGATTGCCAACAACATAGGGGGGAACTAAATGTTTACAGTATGAAAACACTTCTAATATAATTTGGAAGCCATTTTAAACAAAACCTACTGGTAATATTGAGGCAAAATGGACAGAGGTGAAAAATGTTGAGAAAGCAAGAGACTGGTAGGTTGACTAGCACTTTGGTGGTCATTAGTTGGGATGCACCGACTTAAAAAAAAAAAAAAAAAAAAAATGTGGACCAATACTGATGGCCAATTATGAACAAGCCGTATTGGCCAATACTGATCTGATTGTTGATATGCAGCTGGGCAGCTTGGAGAGCAGCATCTGGCTAGTACGTCTGTTGGCAGGGAAGGGGTGGGGGGAGAGAAGGGGCACAGATTGAGGCCCCCGAGAGGTGTGTGCCCCCCGGATCAGTGCACAGGGCATGGGTGGGCTGCCACTGTGGGCTCAGGCTGTGGGCAGCTCCTGGTAGCAGGGTTTGGGGTAGGTAGTTTGGGGGGCCATGGGAAGGCTATCGCAAATTTTGGGGTAACTATAGCCCAACTATAGGCCCCCCCACCCCAGTGCTGCTGCCACCCACCCTGAGCACAGCGACGGACGAAATCCACTGCCTGGAAGAGAGCAGCACTGCCCCCAGTCCCAGCCCTCTTTCACTCCATGCCCCCCAGATGAGCTTGTGGCTCCATCCTGCACCCCACCCTGCCATGGCTGGGCAGCAACTGTCTCAGCCCAAGTCCCACTCCCCCTTCACTGCAGGGGCCCCCACGCTGCTTCCTTCCTGCTGCTCCTTTTTCCTTCCCCCAACAGATTTACCAGCTGGATGTTGTTTTGCAAGGTGCTAGGCTGGCCATGTGCATGCTGCAGCTGCGTACATGCATGCGGCATTTACAGGCAACATTGTCGGCCATATCAACTAAAAGAAGCCGATTGCCAATAATTTCAATTTTCTTTTTATCGATGCCAAAACTATATGGATCAATGTACCATGCATCTCTAGTCATTGAACTCGAATCATTATTTTTTTTCATTATCACATACTTAGTTGAAAAAATCCTTTCAAGTGGAATAGGTTAGGATAATAGAAAATTAGGGTAGGAAGGGACCTCAGGAGGTCATCCAGTCCAAACCTCTAATCAAAGCAGGATCCAACTAGATAATCCCAGCCAAGGCTTTGTCTAGTTAGGTCTTAAAAACTTCCAAGGATAGAGACCCTCAACCTCTCTGGGTAACCTGTTCCAGTGCTTTACAGCCCTCTAAATGAGAAGGTTTAGGTTAGATATCAGGAAAAAACTTTCCTTGCTGCAACTTGAGACCATTGCTCCTTTTTCTGTCATCTGCTACCACTGAGAACCGTCTAGTTCCATCCTCCTCGGAACCCCCTTCAGGTGGTTTACAGTTGCTATTAAATCCCCCCTCAGTCTTCTGTTCTCCAGACTAAATGGCTAGGGACAGACATTCAAAAAGCCTGAGCCTGAATTGATTCAGTCTTTGCAGATTAGTCTAACCTGCCTATACTGAATCAGTAACTGAAACTGTAACTTTACAAACATCCTCTCTGAACTGAAAAAAATGCAGGCAAGTGCCTGCAGTGGTTCAGGCTAGAAGCTGGGAGGTGCTAGAGCAGACCTCCCTTTCCTTCCACATTGCTGAGCTGAGGGGGGGTGGGGGGCATGGCCAGGCCCCAGCAGGATGCTCTGATTAGGGAGGTTCCCCCTCATTGGTCAATGAGGGAACCAGGGATTTACACAGCATTTATCACTCTATCAGCAAAACAAAAGGATCTCTTATTAGTTCAAGCTCTTCTTAAGCAACTTGTCCCAAAGAAGGAATGGAGGGACATTACCAGTAGGCCTATGCGAATAGAGAAGTATTTGATGCAGATTCGGAGGACAGTGATTCGATTTGGAGATTTGGATCGCTGTCCCAAATCGATTCGGCTGAATCAGTTTCGGAAGATTCGGCGCTGATTAAGAGAGATTCGGCACTGATTAAGAGAGATTCGGTGATTTGGATTGGCCAGGGAGAGGCAGGCACAGCCGAGCAGCTGCAGGTTCTCCTGTGGCTCCTCCAGCTTTGCCTGCCTCTCCCTGGGTGGGATGAGCCACAGGAGAAGCCCCCATGGCTGCCCTGCCCAGCCCCCACCCAGCCCCAGCCTAGCCATGGGTTAGCAGGGTGCTGTGTGCTTCCTGGGACCTGAGGCCCCTGGGGCTGAGTGGTGCTGGGTTCTAGCTAACACGTGGAGCCACCCCAGCTCCAAGACAGCACACATTGCCCTGCTGAGCTGCGCTGCACCTGTGCCATGGGGGGGGGCAATCTCTGCCCCCCCCCGCCCCACACTGCATGGAGGGGCCTCTGCCACGAGTGTCCAGAGGCCCCAATTGCCGCTGCAGCAGCCGGTGAGTGTGGGGCTTTCTTAAATCTCCGCACTCTCTGGCTCTGGCAGCAGCGATTGGGGCCCCTCAGGGCTCATGGCAGGGCCCCCCTGTGCAGTGGGGGACAGCGGGTATGGCCCCTCTGCTTGGCACCTGCGCGGCAGCTGCCCCATGGTGCAGATGCAGCATGGCTTGGAAGGGTGTCGCATGCTGTCTTGGAGCTGGGGCGGCTCTCACAGTCACCCGGAGCCCGGCACCGCTCAGCCCCAGTGGCCCCAGCTGCCAGGCAGCGTGCAGTGCCTGTGCCATGGGGCAGCTACCGTGCAGGTGCCAAGCAGGGGAGCCATACCTGCTGCCCCCCACTGCCCCGTGCTGCATGGGGAGGCTCTGCTATGAGCCCTCAGAGGCCCCGATCGCTGCTGCCAGAGCCCATGAGTGCAGAGCTGCTGTGGCTTTTTTTTTTTTTTTTAATGTGGGGGGAGGCTGGGCTGGGCGGGGGATAGGGCCAGGCAAGGCAGCCATGGGGGCTTCCCCCATGGCTCGTCTGGCTGTGCCTGCCTCTACCCCAGTGGCTGGAGCAGCGGGGGCTATGCCCTCTGCCACTTGCCCAGCCAATGTGGGGGAGGGAGTTGCGATGCAGCTGCAGCTCGCTTCGGGCGGCAGCAGGGCATAGCCCCCACTCCCAGTGCTGCCACACCTGCACCCCCAGCCTCGACTGGACAGTTTGTCCTAGCCCCAATCCCTCCCTCCCCCTTCTCCCAACCCCAACAGACGTACCAGCTGGAGGTAGCTTTCAGCTGCGTGTTTAATCTATGGCCGAATCTCTGAAGTGGCCAAAGCTTTTCTGAATCGATTTGGATGCTTCAAATCAATTTGGAGCTTTTAATTGGTCTCGCAGTTCGATTTGGATTCAAAGATTTGGTCCCTGAATTGGGCCTGAATCTCCTTCGAATTGAATAAGCTACTGAAGCTTAATTACCAGCTATCTGTTGATTAGTTCCAAAGAGTCCTAAGCCACTGTGCTGTCTACCTTTGTCCTGTCTACCACAGCATGGACTGTAGCCAGCATGTGGTATGCTAGCTAATGCTGAGAGGTGTCTGTGTAAGGTAGGGGGGAGGGGGGAATCCTTGCTTCAGCAGGGACTGGTGAGGGGGAGGAGGGGAGCAGGAGAATGCTCTGTAGGTGCAGTCTCCGCCAGAGCTCCAGTCAGGGAGCAGAGGGGAGGGGCCAACTCAGATCTGCACCAGAGAGCCCTGTCTAGCCCAGAGAGCATGCCAGGATGCTGGGGTAGTCTGATTCAACTTAAACCAGGAAGGGGTCTGGGACAGACATTGCATAAACCTGTTTGGTCCAAATCAGTTAAGTCTGATACTACATTCAACCAGGTTTATCTCAAACCAGGTTCAGCCATTTTCAAACTGGTTTATGTGCACTGAACATCTGTTCTGTTACAGGTTTAAACCAGTTTCTGATCACTTAAACCCGTTTATGTGTATTGTCTGTCCCGAACCAGTAAGTCCACTTCCCTTAGCCTCTCCTCAGAAGTCATGTGCCCCAGCCCCTAACCATTGTCATTGCCCTGCATTGGACTCTCTCCAATCGATCTACATCCTTTCTGTAGTGGGGGTGGGGCAGGCAAAACTGGACAGTACTCCAAATGTGGCTTCACCAGTGCTGAATAGAGGGGAATAATCACTTCCCTGGATCTGCTGGCAATGTTTCTATCAATGCAGCCCTGTATACCGTTAGCCTTCTTGGCACCAAAAGCATGCTGTTGGCTCATATTCAGCTTATTGTCCTTTGTAACCCCAGATCCTTTTCTGCAGGTTCTTGCAATTAAGCTGTTGAGCTGTTTCCTTTCCCTTTTTTTTTTTTTTTGTGTTATTTTAATTTTTTTCTTACATGTTTTTAAAAACGTGATCGACGATCCATCCATGTATGTTTAAAAAAAATACAGAAAGGCTGTTACCGATTGTAATCTGTAAAGAATTGGTAACATTATTAATACAAAGCAGCATTGCTTTTTTGAAAATTAAATCTTATCAAATCTCACATGGGTCAGGTTCAGATGTTACACTTTTACCAGTATAAGTGTTCAGAAACTGGTCTATACCTATAACAGAAGTTTGGCACACAAAACTAGTCTGTACTGTAACAGAACAGAAGTTCAGTACATATAGACTGGCTTAAAAATGGCAGAAC